CTTTCTTGCTTTCTTGCTTTCTTGCTTTCTTGCTTTCTTGCTTACTTGCTCGCTCGCAACCTCGTTCGCTCGCTTGCTCGCTTACTTTGCGGAGTTGCTTGCTTGCCGCGGCTTGTTCGGTCCAGAGTCACATAGTCGGCTAAGTGGAATTAACGGCTATTAGCAGTAGCTGTGCGTTTATTCTGATTAAAACAGCTGTTTAGCCTTGGGATTCTCCCTTTTAAGTTTGATTTATATTTGCCAGTAATAGCGCAGGCGGATCATCCTCCATGTCTGAGTGATGTGTTGTTATTTTAAAATCGTATTGCTCCACTAACGAAGATCTTTATACCACGTACCACAGAAGCATAAAAATTTATTGGAAATGGTAGAAATACAACCTTTTTTACGTACATACTTATGTGTTACATCTGAAATGAAATTTAGGGCAAAATGATTTGATATTGCCTAGGATTGTTGTTATATATCTGAGACGAAAGTAAATCACAATAAATCTTACAAATTCATATAGATAGACAGTCACCAAAGCACGGCGTGTAACACTAAATGTTGTAGCATGTTTTATTTATAGTAGAAGTGTTTACAAAGAAGGTAGAATTACCCTCGCGCTAGGGAACCCTTGCTGTTTTAGTTTTGGTTTTGGTTAGAAAAAATTTCGAATAACGGCACATAATTTGCGCCGAAATTTTCGAAATGATGTTAGTCACGGACTACTGCCGCTAAAACAATGTAAATACAAGTATTCCTTTGCAGAATTGTTTAACGTTTTGCCGTCAAATTCCTCCAAAACAAAAGAACATTACCGTTAAGGGTTTTATTTACGTGATTAGAAATTGAAATGATTTCAGTGGAACTGATAAAGTACGTAATTCAAGTGAAAACAGGTTATGGGAAGAAGTTTATTATCAGTTAACTAAAGCTTGACCAGTCGGAGTTGTCCCGGAGAGTAGAGTAACCCTTTTTTTTTTGCTTGTAAACGCGTGGCATCTTTGACTCTCTAGCTAGTACCTTAGCACAAGGTTTTCCGTACCTGCTCGTAAACAGGAGCTAAAAGAAACCAGAAAAATGTAACACACCGTATGCGATCATTACGGCGCAATTCAGTAACAGTTTATTTAACATTGGCTTTCAACCGAACGTTCATCTCATCAAAAGCCGTACCCTAAACCTAACAAAATACATGGAGTGTAATTATGCTGTAATCACAAGATGTATAAGCTTCTTTACTTTTATCTTCGTCATTTGTGGGAGTAATTTTAAACCGTCACACGTACTGTTGCTTTAAAAAGTAATTAAAGAAAACCTGGCGGGCCACTGAAGTCCGAAAATAGTTTTCGCTACCGAACGAAATTAGTGAATTGGGGCGGTGCAAAAGTGGAGGGAAAAAGTTCGAAAAGCGTCAAACGGCGTATTACGTTGTTGTTCATTTTCATTTCATCATCCTTCGTTTTGGTATGCAATATCCTTCTCGAGAGATGCTAAATTTTTTAAATTTTTCAAATCTTTTTAAAGTTACGTCTAAAAATAACCTACTCGCTAATCTCAGCGGAGCGCGCGTCGTAATATGAGATGTAGACTTCTAGCAATTATCAACTTCTCATAAACACAAGTAGGAAATAAGAGGCTGAAGTTGGCTAGGGGTTCTGATAAGAAATTTGAGGTTTATGATATTAGACTACCTCGTTCGATAAAGCTGACGAAATTTGTTTTTCAAGTGTCACAGGCCGGCAACACTGGATTTAGCTATTGCAACGTGACCAGTAATCAACCAATAAGAACGTGTGTTAGATCTTTCTAGAATCCAGCATAATATTATAAGGTATATAAATTCTAGGGTATAATACTACATAATATTTTACCCGGAATTGGTATATTCTGTTCCACGAGTTAACCTAACCTCTGAGGTGTTTGCCTCCACCTCAATCTACAAATTGCATGTCTTGTTCGAAGCATTTGTTTTGGTATTGCGTGCATTGTCTCGCAAAGGATTACACTTAAAATCACGATGCCCAAAATGTTTTGTTCGGTTTTCTACTACCAGAGAGTTTCAAAGGCCAAGGCAAAGTTGATGGCGCAACGGGTGCCTATTTAGTTATGCATGAAGTCTTTCAGTGGCTAACATCGCCCCCACGCAACCGACATCTTGAGCTATCTCGACAAAACTCGACCAGTAGAGTTTTGACTGTCAATCTTTTTAGCTCGAAATCTGATATCAGTATAGCTGTCACTGTAGAAAGAGATACTGTTAGTGTACACGACCAAAATAGGCGTCAGGAAGGAAGTGGAAGGAGAGATGTTGATTAGCTGACCAACGAGAGATCGAGAAGATTGGTGAAACAAAGAGTTCATTTTTTCGTCGTTTGCGCATTTAAATAACAAAACCAAAAATCTGCTCTTCAGATGACGTCCCAACTTAGCATAATTGTTTCGTGAAACACGCTATGGAAAGAGCGTAACAAATAAAAATCCACGAAAGGCTAGAACACTCCGGTCTCTTTCTTAAGTGGAAGCCGGCTTTGTTTGCTTATAGAGGTCAGAGTTTATATGCAAAATCGAATTGACGTGCCGTGTTGTTTCTGCATGTCGTGAGAACATTGCTCTATCACGTGGATTTACAAAGAAAACAGTTCATGGTTCATGCACTTATTAATCCGTAGCGTTTCATTCGAGCGCGCGCGTATCAGCTCACAATCTGTAGAAGAAGGCCTAGGATACAGACCGCACTTAGATCAGGAGCGAAAATGGCAAACGAAACTGCAACAGACTTAACGGCAAGCGTGAAAGCTCTGAGCGGAAACCTTGACCAGTTGTTCTTGCTCGTAATGGGTTGCATCATTTTCTGTAAGTATGTGATCTTCGTTGCCATTAAATTCAGACTTCGGTGAAACGACAACTATGAATTTCTAGTTCAGTAAGTAAGAAATCTGAGAGGAAGCTGGTTTACTGGCCAAGATTCAGGACTTAATGGAATAAGAGTTCTCTGGTAATGTACTTTAACTAGCTGAAGATTCTTGATGATGTCGTGGAATAACAAACTCCTAAGACAAAAACATTTAATCCGTAGTGTCGATTATGTCACATGCTGGCGAATAGCATTATCGATAAGTACCAACACCCCGCTATCATGCAATAACAACGTGAACAAATTGGTCTGTTGCCAAATCACTTTGCAGTGCTGAACTAAATAAAGTAATTTCTAACTTAGGAAGTAAAAAAAATAACACGAAGAAGGTGACATCTTGTTTATTGATCAGATTTAGCCGGTCCATTTGGAAGAGAAAGCAAGGTTAATTGAAGAAGAATTCAAAACATTTCTCCGTTTCTAACTTCTTGTCTTCTTATTATCTTAATCGGTTCCATAACAACCAAACATTAACCAAATTTGGCATATTCGTGTCATTTGTTCAATGACCTTTTGTTACTACTTTTTTTATTGCGTGATGTCTTCAGTCGCCTATTGCGTAATAAACAATTGTTTCACCTCAGAAAGTCAATTCCACAGCGGATAACACTTTCTGAGGTCTGCACGATTCCTTATCATACAAAACCCAATTCAACAATTGTTTGATATCATTCATTCATATTTTATTTTATTAAAATAGATTTAACTCATGCTACGTTCACAGCATGCAACAATTTTCTCTGTAAATAACTCCAGTACCGCAGCATGGGCAAATTACGTCATGCGTGCACGAACGCAGTCACGTGTATAGATTCGAAGGAAGTGACGAGAAGTGTGTAAGACAGGAGTGTAAGATCTCGAACTGCTCGCCGTCGACAATAGGTAACTGAGCCTCGGTGTCGGCAAAAGTCCATGATCTGTGGTCAGAAGGCAAATTCTCCGAGTTGTGTAGCTCGGCATATGGCCATGATTATGTGGTCAGAAAATACATTTCAAAGTTGTAACTCGGCGAATGGCCATGATTTGTTCAGTGAGAAGACGTACTTTCCTAGTTGTGCAACTCGCCAAAAGGCTGTGATTTGTGGTAAATTTGTGCAATTTAAACAAATGCTAGTAGAAATTAAAGATTATAGCAGTGCGGTACAGGTTATTTGAAATAACAGTCGGTCTTGGGTCGATGTAAGCGCCATTGAGATGCTAATAAAGCTATATAGGCCACATACTCTACGTGCGTACTAATATTTGGCTGCTCCAGTCTGAATAAACTGTTAAGCCCCTTGAAACTAGCAAGGTAAAAACAAAAACGATTTTTTGGTCCAAGTTCCAAAGTTCGCTTCGGTGACCTGTGAAAGTTTTCAGTTAGTAACGATAATCCGTTAATGTGTTGTTTGTGGACGGTTTTACATTTTTTACATTTTTTCGATACTTTTTTCATTGAGAAATTTCGTTTTATATTGCATAAAACGTACAACAGTTTTTAAAGACATGTTTCGGCATGCTTATGCCATCTTCAGTTTAATAGAGTGACTAATGATACGTGACACAAGTTA